GAGGGGGGGAAGCTCGGCCACCCCAGGAACAAGGGCTTTGTTTGAGCCCAGGGGTGCCACCGGGGATGCGGGTGGCTGCCAGCTCCCCCCCCCCGCAACATTCCTCCCTCATCTGGTCCCTTCAGTTACGGGCGGGTTGGGGGGAGCCTGTGGTGGCCTCGTGGTCAGCCTGCCCAGCCAGGGCAACCTCATGGCTGCCCCCCCTGGATCCCACGGCACCCCAGATCCCTGCCTTCCCCGTGGTGGGACCCAACACCAGCAGAGCATCCTCCATCTCTTGGCCTTTCCCAGCTCCCCACCCCTCTCTGCCCCACACGCTCCCCATATTTCCCGTGACCCCAAGTTGCAGCGTAAGGGCCTGATCCTGCTTCTGCTGAAGATGTGGAGAAGCAGAGGAATCCAGCCCCGGCGCTCTGCCCCACACGCTCCCCATGTTTCCCATGACCCCAGGTTGCAGCATAAGGGCCTGATCCTGCTTCTGCTGAAGACGTGGAGAAACAGAGGAATCCAGCCCCAGGAGGGACATCTCGATGCTGGGAACACCCCAGAGTCGGGCCCTTTCCCTGTGGTCACCCCTGGCCATGCAGTCCCCGTCCCGGTGCCAGCCCCAGCGCTCCGCTGCCTGTCCCTCCTGCCTGCCCCACAGGAACAGAGCAGGCAGGACCACACCAGGCTTAGCCTTTCATCCACCATGGGCTTCCAGAAGGTCCTTGACCTAGTCCCTTATCCCAGAGCAGCATTTTTGGTGCAAAGTCCATGTTCATGGATTCTCCCGTTCACCACACCCAAAGGACACCTTCTCCTGGTGTCTCCATGTCCCAGCAGAGGAGACAAGTGGGGATGGATCCCGTCCCACCCTGGCTCCGGCCCATCCAAGCTCATCTCTGGTACCAGCCTCTGTACATGTGGATAACCAAAGCCCCAACACCATCCTGCTGCACCCCTTTCCCAGCAAAGACACATTCCTCTCCTCTTCCCAATGGGGAAACTGAGGCACATTTGGGACACTGCACGAGCAGCAGCTTGGGTGGGATCCTAACCCATCTTCAGCCCTTCCCTACTGACTCCAGCCGCTTGACCACATCTCTCCAACTTTGCCTTTAATTCAGAAGGGATTTATTCTTTTTTTCCACCGGGAACATCAGAAACCATCTCCCATCTCCTCCTATTCCTGCTCCCGGGCCAGATTCCAGCCGAGGGATCGGTCAGTGGAAAGAATGTCAGCAAAGAGCAGGGCCAACCCAGCCGGGATTTTCCTTCCCCAAATCCCCCCTCCCCGGAGAGGCTTTGCCGTGGTGCATTCCCCACGCCCACTGCTGGCACCCTTGCTCATTTTGGGTTGTCTTCTAGCCTTTTTGTATGCTCTTCTCTCATTGTAGTGATTTCTTTGGGGCTGGGAGCCTTATAACACATCCTCACCCTGATTTCAACTCTCCTGGGGTGTCAGCCCTAGGGATTTGTTTTCCCCATGGTTTTAGCTTCTATAAAAAATCTGTAGTAAGGAAAGCAGGACCCGCAGCCTCGAGTTTCACCCTCGGCACAGACCCTGTGCTCCCCAGGGCCAATCACACCCCCAAAAAAATCAAGAAGGAAAGAAATCAGAGCACCGGCTTGGCCCCTGCATGAGGCAAAAGCACTAAAACAGTTAGAAAGGGGCAGGATTCATCCCTGAGAGTGCACAGAGGAGCCAGCAGCAGGCATGAAGCTATGAGGAGGGGATAACCTGAGCCCGAGGGCTTCACATCAGCTTCACACCATCATGTCAAGCAGTTTGACTCACTCGTGGGGTCCTTTATTGGTGACCCCCGGTGAGCCCCTGGCTATACCATATAAATGGGCTTTTCTGAATCGCCAGAGTGTGTTTGGAGGGTGAGGAACCCGGCAGTGACATAACCAGCTCCCTGGGGCACGTGGCGGACCCGTACAAGAGAGCGGTCAAGCATTTAGCACTTCATAAAACCGGGGCAGCATCGGCGGGGCAGGCGCCGGCCACCACGGTGGCTTCTCCCCGGCCAGGAGAGGGGCAGAGAGGGACAGGGGTCGAGCCAGTCCTGATGGACCACCAAAGCCACCGTGTCCCCGTGGCTGAGTGGGAAGCAGAGGCAGGAGGCAGCCCATGGAGAAGGGCAGGAATGGGCACTGAGTGTCAGAGCAGGATGGGGGCTGGGGAAGAAGAACCCTACACTGGGGTGGCAGCCCCAGCTCCTTCTGGGGGGTCTCAGCCAGGCTGCCCACCCTGCCACCAATACCAGAAGCCAGAATAATGCTGTGCCCACCCAGCCATGGCTCTGCTTCTCCGTCAGACCCTCTTTGCCAAGGATGACCCTCATCCCAGACATGGTGGGGGAACACAGCAGGGTCCATGCTCATCCCAGCAGACATCAAATCAGGGATAATGATAACTGCCGGGCAAGTAGGAGGAATGCCAGTGTCTGGGCTACTGGGGGGCTCCTGTCATAGCCCACACCACCCTGAGCACCCTGCGAAGACAATGGCTGGGGAACAAACGAGCTTTTCCTGGCTTTTCCTGGGTCCCATGGGTGCCCACGGTGGCTGCGGGCTGCGCCCCGGGTAATTTGGAGCCGGCGGGGGATTAGGGCTCTGCTGCCGGCTGTCAGGTTATCCCGTGATGGATGGTGGCGGCTGGGAGGCACACAAAGGCCAGGCTGTGCGAGCCCCGGGCAGAACGTGCTGCGATCCGTCATGGGGTGACCTTCCCCCGGCTGGCGGAGGCCTCGCGGGGACGGCTCACCCCGTCACCGCCGGCGGGGACCGGCAGCCACGGGGCCTGAGCTAAAAATACCCATCCATTGAGAAAATCCCGGCGAGGAGGGTTTGTCTTTGCTCCTCTGGGGAAGCTTCCCAAGCTGGTGGCCAGACCCATGGTGTGGGGTCGGGGAGAAACACCTGGGGGCTGCCCCAACTGTTCTTTTTTTCCATCGTGGGCAATGGGCTTGATTTGCTGAGTTTTGGGGGAAGCGCATTAGCACAAAGCTGGTGAGGGGTCTGGAGCACAAGTCTTGTGAGGAGAGGCTGAGGGAGCTGGGGGTGTTGAGCCTGGAGAAAAGGAGGCTGAGGGGAGACCTTCTCGCTCTCTCCAACTCCCTGAAAGGAGGGTGTAGCCAGAGAGGGGGTCCGTCTCTTCTCCCAAGGAACAAGCCATGGGACAAGAGGAAACGGCCTCAAGTTATGTCAGGGGAGGTTTAGGATGTTAGGAAAAATTTCTTCACCAAAAGGATTATCAAACATTGGAATGGGCTGCCCAGGGAAGTGGTGGAGTCACCATCCCTGGAGGTATTTAAAAGATGGGCTAAGTGACATAGTTTAGTGATGGATTTTGTCAGTGTTGGGTTGATGGCTGATGATCTAGATGGTCTGACAGGACCCTTCCAAGCCCAGGCAATTCTCTTTCATTCCCTGTGGCAGCCTGGTCCACATCCCTCCTTGCTGCATGGAGCCGCATGGTCCCCACACTGGAGCAGCGATGGTGGGGATGGTGCCAGTCAGTTCCTTCCATCAGAAAGGGCAGGAAAATCAGCAGGTTTTAGGGGCTGGCAAAGCAAGCCGGGTAGTGGAGGCAGCATCTCCACCCCTGGGGTGCAGGCACCGTCCCGCTGATGGGGAAGGAGAGGTTGAGGTTGGCCAGGACCCAACAAAGAGATGATCCTGGTGGGATTTCATAGAAATCCCGCTGAGGTTGAGGTTGGCCAGGACCCAACAAAGAGATGATCCTGGTGGGATTTCATAGAATCATAGAATTGTCCACATTGGTAGGGACCTTTCAGATCATTGAGTCTAACCATCAACCCAACACTGACAAAAAACACGGCCAAACCATGTCTCTATTTCAGCGCAGGTCCTACCAAAAAACGTCCAAACTGTGTCTCTATTTCAGCGCAGGTCCTACCAAAATGCCACTTCCAATGGGACCCACCTTCCCGTGTTCCCCCTGGGCACCCCACTGCCCCATCTCCCCTCTGGCTTTCGAGGCTGGCCGACATCCCCTCCTGCCACGGTGACAAGCCGTAACATATTTGGGAGCAGCTGCAGGCAGCGGGGAGATGCTTCGCCCTCTCCCCGCTCCCGGCCGAGGAATGCAGAGCAGAGCTCTCCTCCGACTCCCGGGATTTCCGACGTGCCTGCTCGCCGGAGATTTGGGACGGCGACAGCTGCTCGGCTGAGATGGGGCCACAGCAGAACCTGCCCCTCCAACCCTGTTCCCCGAGCCGGGAGCTTGGCACAGCCACCTCTCAGCCTGCTGGGGGTTCAGCATTGGGTTTGGGTCCAGCCCGTGGGGAGCAATGGGGACCGTGTCCCACCCTCTGTCCCCAACTGGGATGGGAGCAGTGGTGGAAGGACCATCCAAAAACCCTTCCCTCGCTCATATATGTGCCAGCTTACCCAGTTTGGGCTCGCTGGTGGGTTGGGAGGGTGGTGGGATGGGGCTGCTCATGTTCCTGCAGGTCCATGTCCCCATGGGACTCAACGTCCTCTGTCCCTGTCTCGCCTCTCACCCCCACAGCCCCAGGCACCAGCCTCCATGCCTCAGTTTCCCCACCATGAAATCAGGGATAACAACAGAGGTATAAAGTCTGTCTTGGGAACAGCTGTATTTTGGTGATTAATTATTGTTCCAGGTTTGATCTGGGATGGAAGGGGAGGTATCAACAGAGAGGTACTGGTGGTTGAGCAACTCCCAGTCCACTGGATCCCAGTCTGGGGACAATACTGGGTGCACCAGCCTCCATGCCTCAGTTTCCCCACCATGAAATCAGGGATAACAACAGAGGTATAAAGTCTGTCTTGGG